ACGTGAGTGCGACAGGGGGCCCCCTGTGGGCGCCGGGAGGCGGGAAGAGGGGGAATGTGGTTGTGAGGTTGGTGCAGAAAACCGCATACACAACTACACGTGACACTCGATACTCGGCATGTCCCGGAAACTGCTCTCCACCCGCCACATAACTCCACCAGGACTAATACCCGCCGGCAGCACCTTTGCACCCACCATCCCTCCTCCCTCTCGCCCAACTCCAACCGCCGCTACGCCCTTACAAAACCCTTTTTTTCCACGCGCACACAAACTCAACCAACGTCTCGCTCCACGTCGGCAATAGAACAGCACAACGCCCACTGCAACCGGACATAAGGACACCGCCCGCCACTACCAGCGAGGCGTCCGCGGAGCAGGTGGGGACGGGAGAGGGCAGGGGAAGCAGCAGCGTGGGAATGGACGGACCCGTGGGTCATACAGCGCTCTTTTTCCCTGGGATGCTTATGTGTTAGCTGGTAGTAGTTGGATGGTAGTTTGGCGGTTGGCACACCGAGACCTGCAGTCCAGCGCCCCTGTCATTGCCATGTCATTGCACCTGGTGTGTTCGGTCTGTCTGTCTGTCTGTCTGTCTGTCTGTCTGTCGAGTCAGTTTATCTATCTGTCTGTCTCGTTGTGTGCCGTTGTCTCGGCTGTTGACGTGTTTTGTCGTGTAGCTATTTCCCAAAGTCCCGTCACCTCCCATGAGGCCACATTGGCAAGTTGTTAAACGTGCGTTTTTGTTTTAGTTATTTGCGTATGTTTGTATGTGCTTCTGCATGAAAAGGTAACAGCAGCACGTCAACGGCGGCGGCCTGTACCCAATGAACGGTCCCTTGAGCTACGGGCTGCAAGACGTCTGCGATGTCAGCAGCAACCTCCGTATGATGGAGCCGTACGGCAACACGTACGGCAGCACGTACGGAATCGACCTCGCCTCCATGATGGGTGGCCCTTCAGACCCTCTCCTATCCATCTCTGGGTTGACTTTGTTGACCCCTTCGCCGTACTCAGCGCCGCTACCCGCCACCGCAGCTGCTTCTGTCGTCGGCGGATGCATCCCGGAACCCGTACTTGCCGCCGGTTCCATATCCTCCGCTGCCGCTGGTGCCGCCGCCGTCGCCGCCGCCGCCGGCGACGAGGAGGTTCAGCTTCCCTTGCCGCAGCCTTCTAACGTCGTCGCAGAGGCGATTGGCGCATATTTTGAGCCTTTGTTGTCGACGCCGCAGGCGCCACTGCCACCGTTGCCGTCGCTGCCTCAGGAGCCGTTGATGGACTGGCAACAAGCAGAGCAGCCGCCGCCGCCGCCGCAGCAGCAGCAGCAAACGGATCAGCAGCAAACGGATCAGCAGCAGCACGCGGAGGAGCACACTCAGGCAGCGGGCGAACTGCTGCAGGGAGCGGGGGTCGCGGGGCGCCAGGCAGCGGAGCAGGTGCTGGAATGGCAGCTTGCGGATGCAGTACTGCAGCGGCAAGACCAGCCGCTAACGTTGCACGTGCCTCCGTCGCCGCCGGCGCCGCTGCCTCTGCCTCATACTCATCATCAGCAGCAGCATAATGGGCAGCAACACAAGCAGCAGCAGCTAGAGCTGCAGCAGCCTTCGGAGGTACTGGAGCCGCCCCCACCGTTGCCACTGCAGCAGCAGCAGCACGACCAACAACAACAGTCGGCGGAGCCTCTGCAGCTGCAGGCGCCTGCGCAACTACAGCAGCAGCAGCAGCAGCAGCAGCAGCAGCAGCCGGGGTTACAGGGACTACTGGCGCCAGCGCTACCGCTGCCGCAACAGCCGCAGCAGAAGGAGCACCAAAACGACTTGGCGCTGGGGCAGGAGACACAGCTCTTGGATCAGCCGCAACAGCAGCAGCAGCAGCCGCTGCCCCCCTTACCACACTCACCTCTACCGCAGCAGACGGAAGAGGCATTGAAGCCGCCGCCGCCGCCGTCATCACTGCCGCCAGTGCCACCGCAGGAGCTATTGCAGCAGCAGCAGCAGCAGCAACAGCTACTTCTGAAGTCAACCCCAGAGCAGTCCGAGCCTGGGTTGCGGACAGCGATGGCGGCGGCTGAGACAGTTGCCGATGGCAGCCTCCTGGATTAC